TCTCACATGCCCACACCTATTCTCAGATGCCCTCACCTATTCTCAGATACCCTCACCTACCCTCACATGCCCACACCTATTCTCACATGCCCACACCTATTCTCAGATACCCTCACCTACCCTCACATGCCCACACCTATTCTCACATGCCCACACCTATTCTCAGATGCCCTCACCTATTCTCAGATACCCTCACCTACCCTCACATGCCCACACCTATTCTCACATGCCCTCACCTATTCTCAGATGCCCTCACCTACCGTCACATGCCCACACCTATTCTCACATGCCCTCACCTATTCTCAGATGCCCTCACCTACCGTCACATACCCTCACCTATTCTCAGATGCCCTCACCTATTCTCACATACCCTCACCTATTCTCAGATACCCTCACCTATTCTCAGATACCCTCACCTATTCTCCGATACCCACACATATTCTCACATGCCCACACCTATTCTCAGATACCCTCACCTACCCTCACATACCCTCACCTATTCTCAGATACCCTCACCTATTCTCACATACCCTCACCTATTCTCAGATGCCCTCACCTATTCTCACATGCCCACACCTATTCTCAGATGCCCTCACCTACCGTCACATGCCCACACCTATTCTCACATGCCCACACCTATTCTCAGATGCCCTCACCTATTCTCAGATACCCTCACCTACCCTCACATGCCCACACCTATTCTCACATGCCCACACCTATTCTCAGATGCCCTCACCTATTCTCAGATACCCTCACCTACCCTCACATGCCCACACCTATTCTCACATGCCCTCACCTATTCTCAGATGCCCTCACCTACCGTCACATGCCCACACCTATTCTCACATGCCCTCACCTATTCTCAGATGCCCTCACCTACCGTCACATACCCTCACCTATTCTCAGATGCCCTCACCTATTCTCACATACCCTCACCTATTCTCAGATACCCTCACCTATTCTCAGATACCCTCACCTATTCTCCGATACCCACACATATTCTCACATGCCCACACCTATTCTCAGATACCCTCACCTATTCTCACATACCCTCACCTATTCTCAGATGCCCTCACCTATTCTCACATGCCCACACCTATTCTGAGATGCCCTCACCTACCGTCACATGCCCACACCTATTCTCACATGCCCACACCTATTCTCAGATGCCCTCACCTATTCTCAGATACCCTCACCTACCCTCACATGCCCACACCTATTCTCACATGCCCACACCTATTCTCACATGCCCACACCTATTCTCAGATGCCCTCACCTACCGTCACATGCCCACACCTATTCTCACATGCCCACACCTATTCTCATATGCCCTCACCTACCCTCACATACCCTCACCTATTCTCACATACCCACTCTCACATGCCCACACCTATTCTCAGATGCCCTCACCTATTCTCACATACCCTCACCTATTCTCATATACCCTCACCTATTCTCAGATACCCACACCTATTCTCAGATGCCCTCACCTACCCTCACATAACCTCACCTATTCTCATATACCCTCACATACCCTCACCTATTCTCATATACCCTCACCTATTCTCAGATACCCTCACCTGTTCTCATATACCCTCACCTATTCTCATATACCCTCACCTATTCTCATATACCCTCACCTGTTCTCATATACCCTCACCTATTCTCATATACCCTCACCTATTCTCATATACCCTCACCTATTCTCATATACCCTCACCTATTCTCAGATACCCTCACCTATTCTCATATACCCTCGCCTATTCTCAGATACCCACACCTATTCTCACATGCCCACACCTATTCTCACATGCCCACACCTATTCTCAGATACCCACACCTATTCTCACATGCCCACACCTATTCTCACATGCCCTCACCTACCCTCACATACCCTCACCTATTCTCATATACCCTCACCTACCCTCACATACACGGTTATGTTGTTGAAGCATGAGTTCTACTAGGTATGAAGGTGTCTGATTTTGGTTCTTGACTTGTGTTCATCAGCTGATTTTCCTTCTGCAGGTTATTTTCTGGTCGGAGAGAGGCCGCTCTACTGCGGTCTGAGTTCTCCAGTGGTTTGGAGAGACGAAAGGCTTTGAAGAAGAAAAACAACGCGTAAATCTGTGGAGGAGTTCTGAAGTAGTTTCGGTCTGAGACGAGTTTTCAGGTCGACTCCCAGAGCTTCAGTTTCGGAACAAAAAGCTTATTTTGTTTAAACATTTTAAATAAACTTTCTGGTATTTTTGTTTCTATTCCGACTTTATTTGTTTGTGTGTTTATTGAGTAGAAACACTGACAGAGTGAAGATGGGATCTGTTACTGGAACAGACACCTCTAATCCGTTGCCCGTAAAAAGTCCAGTCAGTTAAAGTGTCTTCTGAGACGGTACCATGCAGGTCCAGACTGCTGCCAGAGACGTCTGGCCCAAGACAGTGAAGACTTTCTAGATACCCCTGGCAGAGTCTTGCATGCAGAATAATGTTTGTACATTAGAGGATCAATAGTAGAAGGTCTTAAAAATGACCAGAATTTAGGAAAAGGTTTTAATTGGATTATTTTTATTCTTTCCACCCAGCCAAGAGGTTTTAAATCTTTTAAAAAATTGTGTTGGGGGGGTTCCAGATAAACAAAAGCATGTCGTCGGCATAAAGAGAGACTTTATGTTCGACACTCCCGTGTGACCCGGATTAAGGTCGGACCCAGACAGGTTATCAGGTTCTTCATTCAGAGTCAGAAGCTTCAGAACCTTGGGCCTGGTCTTCAGGTTTCTGATGTTGAAGCTTTTAGAAGTTCTGATTCTGATCAGAAACGGGTCCAGCTGGGTTAGTCAGGAACAGAACCGTGTCGGATCAGAACCCATTCTGTGAAAACATCTAAACAATATAACCAAATTCAGGCATCTTCAGTAAGGGAACACCTAAAACCCCGAAACAGAAAACTTCCACCCGCAGGTTAAGTTCTGATCCGGCCCGATCCAGAAAGCTGCTCTTGGTTCAGTTTTAGGTTCTACTGCAATCGGTTTAAACCCCCTAATGTAGTCCAGTTGGGACTGGTCCTCTTTCCATGTGCAGGATCAGTACAGGTCCATGTGGGTCAAGACATGAGGCATCATGGGCAGAACTGCGGGGTACTGGTGGGCGTGGCCTTGGTACAGGTGTGGGTCCGGTGTGGGCAGAGGACAGCACCAGAAGTGATCAGTCAGCATCATCCTGCCGGCCGCAGCCAGAAGCTCCAAACCTGCAGCGGATTGACGTTTCCACTTTGTCCTGCAGAGAGACACGACAGCCGAAACGGGTAAACACCTTCACCAGGTAAACATCTGCAGCAAGTTAGCGTAAACAACGGGTAAACATCTGTAAAGGGTGAACATGGTGCTATGTTAATGCCGAGACCTGTTCCCGTTTTAGACCTGAGCACGCCGTACTGCAGCTAGCAGGTGTTTTTGGATCCAATCAGGTTTCAGGTGGTACCAGGCATGGACGTAATTTTGGGGGGGGGACAGGGGGGGCATGTCCCCCCCCACTTTTTCCGAAGTCAAGTTTTGACCCCTGCACTTTTTACCATCCGAAAACAATATTACGCTATATTAAATTGACACTGGTTGAGCTCTAGGACCAAGCAGAAAACAACCGTTTATGTTGAAGCCTGTTTCCCATTAGAGCATACTGTAAAGACCCCCCCCCCCCCCTTGTCCCCCCCCCACTTCTAAAGTGAAAATTACGTCCATGGTACCAGGATTCTCCCGGCAGTAAAACCCTGCAGGGACTTCTGGATTCACCCTAGATGATTTATGATCGCTACATCCTTAATCCAGCTGAGACCTGAAAAGCTTCACCTTCCTCAGAGGTGAGATCAACTGCAGCAGGAAACAAGTCTGGTTCTGGTCTGTTCTGTTTGAAATGACTGACCTCTGATCCGATAGAGCTAAATTCAGTTAACGTCTCAAGGCCCTTCACAAAGTAAACGTTCCAGTTGAGCCTACCCACCAGTTCATCGGGTAGTTCCACTCAGGCGTTTCCTACCTAAGGAAACCCAGCAAATTACATGGAGTCAGTGGTTTTACAGTAATCTCCATACTAAGCAAGCATGTAGCGAGAGTGGAGAGGAAAACTGCTTCAACCTCCAACAGAACCTGGCTCAGTGTGAGCAGCCGTCCGCCGTGACTCACTGGTGGGTTTGAGAAGACCGAGCAGACACAACCAGTAGAAACCTGGCGAACTAGTAGTAGCACACACTGTTAAAGAAAGTAAAATCAGGAGAGGGAGAAATCTGGATGGTGGACAACCAAAAAGGTGTTAGAGCCCTTCTGGAAGGAGGAATCAACCTCTTGACTGCTGATTGGTCAGTAAACAAGATGGTTCCTGATTGGCTGTCGGAACCATTGTTTATTTTACGTGAAACTGTTAGATTGTTCCGCCCTGAGTGAAGCTGAACCAAGCTGACCCAATTTAAATATTGGGTCGGTTAATAGTAAAGGTGTCCCTGGCCTCTTGGACCCCATCAGAACCAGAAGCCTCGCAGGTGACCTTTGACCCTTTGCAAAAGTGTATCATCAATCGCTTACCTGCGGTTCTGGTACCAGGTTTTGACCTGGGTGTCGCTCAGATGCAGGGCGGTGGCCAGGTCCATGCGGTCCTGGACACTTAGATACTTTTGATTCTGAAAGCTTCTCTCCAACCGTTTCAGCTGCTGCTCACTGAACGCTGTTCGGGCCTTCCGAGGTCGCTTGATGCGTCCGACGGTCGCCGCCGTGTCACAGCCGCCAGACTGCTCTGATGACAGGTGGACATGACATCACATCAGCTATGATGTCTGTTCACCATCTTCTTTTTCCTTTTCATCTTATCAACATTCATCATCATCACCACCATTATCATATTATAACAATTAATGGCCTTTCTTTGTGTAGCGCCTTGTTAGTGTTCTACAACCCGCCAGGGCGCTTCGCAACACAATCAGTCATTCATCCATTCACACGCTGGAGGTGATGAGCTATGATGTAGCTACAGCTGCCTTGAGGCGCGCTGACAGAGGCGAGGCCTGCCGAACACTGGCACCACCAGCAGGGAAGGTGGGTTAGTGTCTTGCCCAAGGACACAACAGCAGCATTCTCTGGTCAGAGCCGGGATCAAACCTGCAACCTTCCGATTACTGGACAACTCGTTCACCATCATCACTATTATCACCATCATCACCATCATTATTATAACCATCATCATGATAAATGACTCGCACTTGTATGGCGCCTCTCAGAGTAAGGACTCCAAAGCGCTTTACACTACAGTGTATCATTCATCCATTCACACACTGATGCTGATGAGCTACGATGTAGCCACAGCTGCCCTGGGGCGCGCTGACGGAGGCGAGGCTGACAAGCACAGGCGCCACCGGTCCCTCCGACCACCACCAGCAGGCAAGGTGGGTTAGTGTCTTGCCCAAGGACACAACAGCAGAATTCTCTGTCCAGAGCCGCTGCTGCACCAGTCTTCAACTATAGACTATAGTGTCTTCAACATCACCATCATTATTATCACCATCATCTTCATCATCACCATCATCATCACTGTCAGTGCGCCCCAGGGCAGCTGTGGCTACATCGTAGCTCATCACCATCACTGTGTGAATGTGTGTGTGAATGGATGAATGATACACTGTAGTGTAAAGCGCTTTGGAGTCCTCACTCTGAGAGGCGCTATACAAGTGCGGGCCATTTATCATTCATTTATCATCATCATCATCATCACTTTTATCACTGCCGTCATCATCACCATCATCATCACAACTATCACTTTTATCACCATCATCACCATCATCATCATCACTTTTATCACTGCCGTCATCATCACCATCATCATCACAACTATCACTTTTATCACCATCATCACCATCATCATCATCACTTTTATCACTGCCGTCATCATCACCATCATCATCACAACTATCACTTTTATCACCATCATCACCATCATCATCACTTTTATCACTGCCGTCATCATCACCATCATCATCACAACTATCACTTTTATCACCATCATCACCATCATCATCATCACTTTTATCACTGCCGTCATCATCACCATCATCATCACAACTATCACTTTTATCACCATCATCACCATCATCATCATCACTTTTATCACTGCCATCATCATCATCACCATCATCATCACAACTATCACTTTTATCACCATCATCACCATCATCATCACTTTTATCACTGCCGTCATCATCACCATCATCATCACTTTTATCACTGCCGTCATCATCACCATCATCATCACAACTATCACTTTTATCACCATCATCACCATCATCATCTTCATCATCACCATCACCACCATCATCATCACTATCACTTTTATCACCATCATCACCATCATCATCATCACTTTTATCACTGCCATCATCATCACCATCATCATCACAACTATCACTTTTATCACCATCATCACCATCATCATCATCACTTTTATCACTGCCGTCATCATCACCATCATCATCACTTTTATCACTGCCATCATCATCACCATCATCATCACAACTATCACTTTTATCACCATCATCACCATCATCATCATCACTTTTATCACTGCCGTCATCATCACCATCATCATCACAACTATCACTTTTATCACCATCATCACCATCATCATCATCACTTTTATCACTGCCGTCATCATCACCATCATCATCACAACTATCACTTTTATCACCATCATCACCATCATCATCTTCATCATCACCATCACCACCATCATCATCACTATCACTTTTATCACCATCATCACCATCATCATCATCACTTTTATCACTGCCATCATCATCATCACCATCATCATCACAACTATCACTTTTATCACCATCATCACCATCATCATCACTTTTATCACTGCCGTCATCATCACCATCATCATCACTTTTATCACTGCCGTCATCATCACCATCATCATCACAACTATCACTTTTATCACCATCATCACCATCATCATCTTCATCATCACCATCACCACCATCATCATCACTATCACTTTTATCACCATCATCACCATCATCATCATCACTTTTATCACTGCCATCATCATCACCATCATCATCACAACTATCACTTTTATCACCATCATCACCATCATCATCATCACTTTTATCACTGCCGTCATCATCACCATCATCATCACTTTTATCACTGCCATCATCATCACCATCATCATCACAACTATCACTTTTATCACCATCATCACCATCATCATCATCACTTTTATCACTGCCGTCATCATCACCATCATCATCACAACTATCACTTTTATCACCATCATCACCATCATCATCATCACTTTTATCACTGCCGTCATCATCACCATCATCATCACAACTATCACTTTTATCACCATCATCACCATCATCATCATCACTTTTATCACTGCCGTCATCATCACCATCATCATCACAACTATCACTTTTATCACCATCATCACCATCATCATCATCACTTTTATCACTGCCGTCATCATCACCATCATCATCACAACTATCACTTTTATCACCATCATCACCATCATCATCATCACTTTTATCACTGCCGTCATCATCACCATCATCATCACAACTATCACTTTTATCACCATCATCACCATCATCATCACTTTTATCACTGCCGTCATCATCACCATCATCATCACAACTATCACTTTTATCACCATCATCACCATCATCATCATCACTTTTATCACTGCCATCATCATCATCACCATCATCATCACAACTATCACTTTTATCACCATCATCACCATCATCATCACTTTTATCACTGCCGTCATCATCACCATCATCATCACAACTATCACTTTTATCACCATCATCACCATCATCATCATCACTTTTATCACTTCCGTCATCATCACCATCATCATCACAACTATCACTTTTATCACCATCATCACCATCATCATCTTCATCATCACCATCACCACCATCATCATCACTATCACTTTTATCACCATCATCACTACTATCACAACATCATCATCACTATCACTTTTCATCATTTCGTTTGAATCTATTTTCTGTTTTAATTAATTCCCCATGTATTGTTTTGATATTATTCTACTTAATTGGGAATAAATATTTCTTACATTAACCCTCTCAGGCTCAAAATAAGTTTGGACAACAGGACGAGTCGTTCAGGGGTACTTCCGAGGTAAAGCATGCTCATGAATGAGGAGTAACCAGGTTTTAACGCCTGCCTCCAGAGGGTTAAAACTGTGTTATTTTGAGTTTTAATGTTTTTATTAATTATTGTAATTTTGTTTTACCTTTGTTATCGCTCTCTCGTTCCGGTCCACTTCGGAACAGCTCGGCTCGTGATTCGGGGTGTCCTCGGTGTGAACCGGGGTCTGCCAGGATGTCGCGGATCAGGAAGGAGGAGCTTCCGGAGCGGGGCTGGAGCAGACGTTCCGGACCTTGGTCCCGTTCCTGTGGCCGGGAGAGGAGCGCTGCGGGCGGACTGAGCGACAACAGTGACTCGATAAGGAATCCAGAGCCTCCAGAGCCGGGAAGCTCCATCTCAGGTGAGTTAGTTCACACAGGTGGTCCAAATGTCAGCAAAGGTGACAAACCCGGCTCGAGTGTGACGTCATGTCTGTCAGATCTGATCAGAATCATCTGATAGTTATTGATCAGGTGGAAAATGATCAGCAGCTTATTTGAGTGCCAGAACTCAAATTCCCTCCTCTTCTATCATTTCTCCTGCTCCTCCCTCCCCCACCTGCTACACACACACACTGCTCCTCCCTTCCTCACACACACACACACTGATCAGTCAGAACTTTTCATCCTGTCTGAGATGGCGTTCTGAAACCTGAAGAAGCTTGCGGGATCAGCAAACCTGAGATACTTCTGCTGGAGTGAAGGTCCCACTCAGGTCTCTGGAGCGACCTATCCCAGCCTGCTGTTCCTCCCTGACTGGTTTAGGAGATTATTCCAGGACTGTGGAGGGAGGTAGGACATCTGTAGATGTGGAGAACCTCTGGCTCCTGGCTCCCTCGGCTTGGGTCAGTCGGCTCCAGAAGTTATCCAAACATGTTCAACTGTATTTTTAGTCAAACTTCTAATTCTCTCATTAGTGTGGACTTGTCCCTTTACATTAAACAGTTTCAGGAGATTGGAAAAGCAGCCCCAAGTTAAATGACCTAGGAGACTGGACCAGAATCAGAGTACTTGACCAGGTGTTGAACAGAAGAACCAGCTGAGAACACGTGTTTGTTTACAGTGTTTTATTAGCATCACAATTAACACGCCGTTCTCTGTCCTCTGCTTGGTCCAGTTCCTGATTCTCACCGACGAGCCTTGGGGTCCCTGAAGGTATCCAGAGCTGCAGCTACCTGTAGAGACAGAAAAAAATGCTGTTGCCATGGTAACACCAAGCAAACAGGAAGCTGTGCTCAGGTGTCCTCTCAACAGAGGCCCAATCCCAACACTCGCTCTGCGGTCTTCAGCAAAGTGCGCAGTAGGGCTTCGAGTGCGTGGTTCACAAGTGAACTGAGACAGGGAGTATTGCGTCATCGATTGTAATGCATGCCGGTTTCTGGTTGATGTGATACTTTAAAAAAAAACTTTATTAACAACTTTCAAACAAACAATCAAACAATTATTTGAAATACTTCACCCAGTACAGTAATACACTTCACCCAAGTCCGCACTGATGCAGACTTGGGTGAAGTGCGGATCAAGGGTGCAAGAGGGGCGTGATCAACCTCCACATTTGAGAATCGGGACACCCTATGCTCTCGCACCCCTAGTCAGGACTGCGCAACTGAAGGGTGCAAGTGTGGAAGTGCGAGTATGGGACTGGGCCTTATAAAAGGAACGGATTTCAGGAGTCCTGTTGTTCTTCCTGTGGCCTCTAGAGGCGCCGGTCAGCTACCTGTAAAGTGAGGTAGGTGGTTGCTTTGTTACGGCCCTCCCTTGCCCTGTCTCCATCTAAAAAGCTAGATTATCC